AGGGGACTGGACTCGATGACCTCTCGAGGTCCCTTCCAGTCCTAGAATCTATGAATCTATGAATCCCGATCAACGTACAATCGGGATGCCATTTGTCCCGATATTCAGGTAAGGAGGCGAGTGGGAGGGAGACACTGACCCTGTGGGTGCTCTGGGGCTGGAGCACCCGCAGGGGAAAATTGCAGCCAAGCTCCCCCCCCCTCGCCTCCTTCTCCCCCTCCTCCCCAGTGCACCGCGTCCCCGCTTCTCCCTCCCTCCAGCGCTTCCTGCCGCCTAACAGCTGTTTGGCGGTGCTTGGCACTTTCCAGGAGGGCGGGGGAGGAGCGGGGACATGGTGCACTCAGGGGAGGAGGCGGAGAAGAGGCAGGGCAGGGGCGGGGACTTGGGGGAAGGGGATGGAATGGGGGCGGGGCAGGGGCGGGAAGAGGCAGGGGGTGGGTGAGCACCCACCCGTCAGAGGGGAAGTCGGCGCCGGAGGGGTGAGTGGCAGGCGGGGCGGTGAGGAGGTGAGCGGCGGGTGAGCAAGTGGGCGGGGAGGTGAGTGGTGGGTGGGGGGACTGAGGAGGGACGCAGCAAGCCAGCTTCAGGCCGGGGATGAGGAAGGGCACGGGGAGGGGGCGGGACCTGGGGCAAAGTGGGGATGGAGCCTGGGAGGCGCGAGGGTGGACTGTGGGTGGGGCTGACGGCACCCCAACGTGTCCTGATATTTCAGTGTGGTGATCTGTTCACCCTAGAGCTGGGAGCAGAGTCACAGAAGCAGCCCACAGAGCAGACCCTGTGCTGGGAGCAGGGCTGCAGCCACATAGCCAGAGACACAGCCCAGGGAGAGCAGATCCTGTGCTGGGAGCAGAGCTGCAGCCACAGAGCCAGAGGGACCAGAGAAGCAGCCCAGGGGGCTGGAGGCAGAGCAGCAGCATCAGTGCTGAGGCAGAGTGGAGCTAGAACAGTGGAGCTGGGGCTGGAGCTGGAGCAGTCTGAAGCTGGGTGCGGTGAGCAACTGGGACCAGCCAAGGAGGGACTCTGGGCAAAGGGCCTAGCACAGAAAGACACCCCCAGCCAAGGGTCCTTGCAGGCCAGACGGGGAAGGGGAGCTTAACCCAACGGGGGGCTGACACTGGGAAGAAGGGTCCCACCACCCAAAGCCCGGAGGTGTGTGGCCACCACCAGAGCGTGTGTCCAAACTGCAGAGTCTCTGCAGCACAGCCAGGGCCTGAGTAGGAGGCCTGGGACCTACAAGGAACAGACTGTGAACAGCCCTGACATTCCAGAGACACTGTTTGTAATGTTCCCTGCCACAGAGCGGGGTGATGTGTTTTCCTTTAATCTTTCCCATTTTTCCTTATTCCTTTTTAAATTAATTGTTGATTAAATAACTTGTATTTGCTTCAATTGTATGAAATGATCAGTGGGTCAGGGAAGTGTCCAGTGCGGAAAGAGCACCCTGCAGTGGGGACATCCTAGTCCTTGTCCTAGTTGACCACAGCAGGGTTGAGGGTTGAGCCCCCCAGGAATCCTGGGCCCAGCCTTGTCGGGGTTACAAGTAGGGTGACCAGATGTCCAGATTTTATAGGGACAGTCCTGATTTTTGGGTCTTTTTCTTATATAGGCTCCTATTACCCCCCACCCCTGTCCCGATTTTTCACATTTGCTGTCTGGTCACCCTAGTTATGAGGACTCTGCCAGACAGGAGAGTGGAAGGGGAGTCCTCAAGGGCAGGGAGGCCTCTGGGTAAAGGAAGTGGGAGCGAGGACTCAGATCCTTCTGCTAGCCCATTTCACTGGGATAGTGCAGAAGCCAGGAAAGTTCCCCACAATAGCGGGACCATTCCCCCACTTACTTAATGAACAAATCAAGTCTCTGAGGCCAGTTACAAAGCTCTCTACTAAGAAGGCAGGCTGTGGCCACTGCCCTGCTCCACTGCCATGACAGGAGACTGCAAAGAGGAGGGGAAGATTAAGAAATTTCATTGTAAATGCCTCTTTCCCTACCATGAACAAAGCTTCATAGTTCTCAATTAAACTCTGGAGCACGAGGATGATAGAAGTGCTGTTTTCAATTTCCACGGCATGGGCACTGGGGTCTCTCTCCAGAAGCTTCTCTCTTTGCAGCAGGTTGGGGCCAAAAATTGTAGCCAAATTTGAGGCTGTCATTTTATTTCCAAGAATCTAACAACCAAACACAGAAATTAGTGTCAGATATCGACCCAGTAACACAACTCGCTCCAGGTGCTCTCCCTCGCCCCATGACTGAGGCGAAAGGAAGGCTGCTGAGTACCACTTCCCGGGAGAAGAACAGGGTTGGTTCATAGCATGGTGAGATGCTCCTTCTCCACTCTAGTCCCTGATACCCTGTGAGCAAAGACTCTATCTGCCATTGTGCTTCCACTAAATCAGCAACCAAGGAGAATTTTCTGAGTTGGCTTGCAGTGTCTGAAAGCTCCCTCCCTCCCACCTTCTATAAGCATCAGTCCGACCTTTCTACCTGTCCCACCCATGCTGGGATCTCAGTTTCACAGCTCAAATAATAAAGTAACAAATAACATTTCCATAGTCCGTTCCATATCAAGATACTCTACAGCAGGGGTAGGCAACCTTTCAGAAGTGGTGTGCCGACTCTTCATTTATTCACTCTAATTAAAGGTTTCGCGTGCCAGTAATACATGTTAACGTTTTTAGAAGGTCTCTTTCTATAAGTCTATAATATATAACTAAACTATTGTTGTATATAAAGTAAATAAGGTTTTTTAAATGTTTAAGAAGCTTCATTTAAAATTAAATTAAAATGCAGAGCCCCCCAGACCGGTGGCCAGGACCTGGGCAGTGTGAGTGCCACTGAAAATCAGCTCGCGTGCCACTTTCGGCACACGTGCCATAGGTTGCCTACCCCTGCTCTACAGCCTATATACAAGAAAAACGTCACCTGCCCTCTATGAGGTGGAACATGACAGTTGTTAAACAATACACAGAAACAGTATAGAACAGTTCAGGACAGGAAGTAGACAAGGAAGTCATATAATATGTATTATGCTCAATTGTAGCTGCACAGGCAATTTAAGGATGCTGCAGGTAATTCATTTTGCCTACAGCCTCTAAATGGAAATTTAGCCAGGATACCAAGGATACTTTCCCAATTCTTGCATGGGATCTTTAAATGACCACAGATGGTCAGGACTTCAGTTGTGTATCTCATCTGGCATAAAGCACCTCCTGCAGCTATCTTAATGCTGTGCTGACAAGTGGCTCTGTGCTGACACAGCAGGAAGGGTGCTCCTGCCTAGTCACAACACCAAATGCTACTTTGTGTACGTTTTTCTGGGAATTTTTAACCTAACCTCATTTAGCTTGCTAGATCTGACAGGCTCACAGCACAAGGTGGTATGGCTGGAGGAACACCGAGGAGCTGGCATGGTTCATATTGTTTTCAGTATGGGGGGAGTCCAGATTTCCATGTTTAGCTTAACCATTTAGAACTATCCCTGAAACTGACTGTTTTCAAACCCCCTAGTCCTTGAGCAATGTGAACAGGACTCATGCAGAAGAAGGACTGCAGAGTGCTGGGTGCCGAATAATTAACCAGAGTCCTTCAATTTTGACATATATTGCCATCCAGTATATAGTGCAGGAAACCAGAGGCATAGAAGTACAAGAATAATGCCTTTTGAGGTCATGGCATAATGTGGGAAGGATGTAGCTTATATGGGATCCAATCACAACACAAAGCCACTATTCAGAAAACATGGGAAATCCTTTTAGAACACTGTACTCTGATGCTGCAAAAACTGGAAAAGTAAAGAGGCACAGATCACTGGCAAGCAACTGCCATTGTCCCTCCTATGTTACCATCCCTACAGAAGATGTCAGGGCAGTTCACAGTCTGTTCCTTGTAGGTCCCAGGCATCCTTCTCAGGCCCTAGCTGTGCTGCAGTGGTGCTGCAGGTTGGACACTTGGGGGAGAGGGATAGCTCAGTGGTTTGAGCATTGGCCTGCTAAACCCAGGTTTGTGAGCTCAATTCTTGAGGGGGCCATTTAGGGATCTGGGGCAAAAATCTATCAGGGACAGTACTTGGTCCTGCTGTGAAGGCAGGGGACTGGACTCAATGACCTTTCAAGGTCCCTTCCAGTTCTATGAGATAGGTATATCTCCATATAATAAGATACAGACAATATGGGTGCACAAGCATTTGAAGCCAGTACCTTTTGTCTCTCTGGACCTGTGGAATCCTGGGCATGCTGTGCCACCTTGTTCAGGAACTGCAATAGCTGGTACAGGGTGTCACTGTTACAGGGAGGTAGGAGGTACACCAGCAGCTGCAGCATGGAGAGCTGGGCCATGCGTTCCATGACTATTCAGAGAAAAATGAGCAATTTAAGTTAGACCAGCGACTGACAAGACAGCCTGAATGTTCCAGACATTTCACTCTCACGTCAGATTTCCTAAGCAGCCAAACAAGCAGCATATCTGTTGTTTACCAGTTTAGAAACAGGAACCCAGGCTTTCCCATAGACAGGTGATCCCATAACTGCCCTCTGCAGGTTTTCATTCACCTTCCTGTTAGAGACAGGAGACTGGACTGGATCCAGTCTGTCAATTTCTCTCTTCTTCTGTGCCTAAGAAAGCAGTCTGGGGGTGAGAATCCTGCGGTTCTGAGGACCATCATTCTCAGCAGGATGAAGATCCAACAGTTGGAAGCTAAAACTAGATAAATTCAGGCTAGAGATAATATTTTAACCATTAAGGCACTTAACCATTGGAACAACTTCACTAGGGATGTGGTGTATTCTCCATCCCTTGGAGTCTTTGAATAAAGATTCACTGTCTCCTTCTAAAAAATATATGGTACTCTAGCTCAACTACCAGATATGGGCTTGATGTAGGAATCACCGGATGAATTGATTTGGCCTATGTTATGCAGGAAGTCAGACTAGATGACTGTGATGGTCCCTTTGGGCCTTAAAATGTATGCATTGATGATGTCAGTGACACTACTTATATGCTTAAAGTTATGTATATGCTTAAGTATTTGTTAGATCAGGACCCTAGGGTCTGATCCAGACCCCATAAAAGTCAATGGTAAAATGATCAGTGATTTCAATGGGAGTAGGATCAGGCTCTTAGCCTTTAGGGAAGGCTGTTGGTGCAGAGTGGGAGGAACCAGCATTATGGGCTCTATAAGTCTGCACAGAGGAGTTTTCTGCTCCTTTCTTTTTTGTTCTCTCAGTGACACATTGTTTTGTCTTTTGCAGCTTTTTTTGGTCAATAATTTTTTCTTTTTCAACCTTTCATCCATGCCTACGATGGTGTCTGCCTGCTTATTCCAGCCAGCTGGTGGTCTGATGACTCAGGCTGCTAATTCTTCTACGACACTTCAAAGATTTTTAATGATGGCTTGAATTTCACCTTTTATAAACCTTATCTTCAATAAGTGTCTTTTGCATCTTCTTCGATGTACAGACTGTTTACTCAGAGCTAAACTCAATACTGGAGAAGACAGATACATCTTCCTGCTGCTTATTTTATCTGACATTTAAGAAGACCCTGTTGCCTTCTTTTGCCTTTTTTTCCCCTCCTCTTTTTTAAGAGGAAACATTCTGCCTTCTGCTGTTCTGCTGCACTTCTGATCTGGAGATCAATACTCCTCTGTTCCATTTATTCTTGAATATAACGCCTTTGTAAATAACATAGCAAGAAGGGAGAAACTGCTCTCTGTCTCTTCACAGGGCTGCCCGGTGTCACAGGGTATGTCTACACTACGGGATTAATCCGAATTTATATAATTCGGATTTGAAAAACAGGTTGTATAAAGTCGAAATGTATGCGGCCACACTAAGCACATTAATTCGGTGGTGTGCGTCCAAGTACCGGGGCTAGCGTCGATTTCTGCACCGTTGCACTGTGGGTAGCTATCCCATA